AAATTCAGTCCACATTCCACTGAGGGATCGTCTTAACTGATGACACAGAAAGATGTTAGGGAAGTATTTTCTGTTAAGGAAACAAGGAGGAATATAAATTTGTGTTCACTGGCGTCCATAATCTTATCAAGCATTCATCACGGCCGATTAGCGTCGAAGTGAAAGCCTGATTTATTTGCCTATGGCTGCATCTAATTGTTTACATGTAACAATCCTTGTACTTGCAACTACAACTTCCTCCTGCATTAAATAATCCGAGCACGCTGAAGGGAACAACAAGGTCACCCCAAAATAATTACAGAAACCATCGCACAAAACCTCTTTATGTTTTTTGGAAGAACAGCTTGTAGAGATAACTGGAGCTATCATCCTTTAAGAAGCTCTTAAGCTCTGCAGCTTTAGCGCTGGCAGCAGAAATGGACGGAGCAGCATTCCTCGAGTCTCCAGAGGCCCAGACTAACCTGGGCTCTGTCTGCCTCTAAAGTAGGACACGAGCTGAGAGCAAACACACCCAGAGATGATGACTTTCACCATGTTATTTATTGCTGGCTGAGACATTACTGTGGAAGGCTAGTGTTCATTCATGATGTTTGTAGTCCATGTCGTCACGTGTGTTTCAAACTCTGAATGTGGAAGTTGTTTATGACTCTATTTGGTATTACACTCTTGGGATTGACCTTAAAACTCATAATATGACATTTACATTGTCATATTATATTCATGTAGTTCCAGACATGTCTGAGTGTCTTTTTTTTTGTCCATAAAGTAAAAAGTCAGAGATTCAAAAGTTGTTATTTTGATGGTGTGGATAAAAAACATTCTTTAAAGTGTATTATTCTGTGAGTATATTTTAGATTTGGAATGACATGACAGTAAATGATGAGTTGATTGAAGGACTGTATTGCAGCTTTAGGCACAAATGACTGTAGTATGTTAAAGGAACACACCACTTTTATAATATCTTGCTCAAAATGTTCATACTATTTGTGTAAAAAAAAGTGTTGCTAACTATTTGTAATTAAAGCTTGACAGTTATGTAGTTACATTGTGTACTAATACCTATGAAAAAGATTTTTTAAAAATTGCTATTTTCTAGGTCGATATGGCTAGGAATTAAATTCTCATTCTTGCATAATAATGAAGGAACTTTGCTGATGTACTATGGCTGTAGCAGGCGCAATGATATAATGCAAACTCTAACTGTAGGTACAAGTGTAAGGCATGGTGCTGGTGACAATTTTCAGAGCATAAAAAAGAGAATGTAGTTCCCAGCTATTTATTTTCCATCTATGTTAGTACACACACAGTGTAACTACAGATGACCCAAGCTTTGAATAGCAATATATTTGAAACCCTTTTGGTCATTTTGTGTGCGTGAGATGCTAATGGTCTAATCTAAGTCAATGGTCACAGCAAAATCCCAGAGTAAAGTTTACTCAGTTTAGATAGTATTTGTTCCCTCTCTAAATTAAGGTAAAGTTACTCAAGTTACTGAGACAATAGCTGCGTCCCAAATCGCATACTTTTGCACTATTCTACGCCATTTTGTAGTATAAATAGTGTAAGTAGTGTGTTCACACTGAAAACTCTAAAAATAATAAGTGCACTTTAATTACCCGGATGATGCACTCATTCAGCCGCTAATATTAAGTGTGTAATGATGGACACTTCACGCACTTAACGACTGCAGGTTTGCCTACGTAGCGGAAGGGGCGAAGCTATCGGTGGCACATGTTGGATAACTTTATTTATTTTGGATGGTGAAAGCAAAATTCTCCAACGAGAGTGATCATAGCGCCTCCCGATGGTGAATGCGGCAATACTCACGGCAGGTATTATTTGATAATTCGGTCGTTTATTTCACTGATTTGGCAACCGTCAAACGTCATTAGGGAAACGGTTTGAATTTCCGTTTAGTAAAAAAACATTAGTGTGCCATTTGGGCAACCCGGGCTCATTGTGGAAACGTAGCCCCGCGGACGATTCTGCGGACCACGATTTACGTCCCGGGAGGTACGCATTCGAGCGTTTTTTTGTTTTCGCGGATCCGCGAGAGGCCGATGTGCGCGCTTTTTCCCGTCTCGGGCGCCTCTCGGTGAGCTAAGTGTGGACAAACTGATTGCATCGGGAAAGCTCTCCACTCGGAGGCGAGCCGTCGGCCGGCGAGCGCGAAGAGGAGGGGCGGAGCGGCGCCACACCGCCCTGCAGCGTTCGCTCGAAAAAAAACAAACACGGCCTTTACGTACCTCCGGCCACGTAAATCGCGATCTCCAGAAACGTCCGCGGGGCTACGTTTCCAGAATGAGCTTGGGTTGCATTTGGGACAACACTACATACATGTACTATCCTGTTGAGTGTGTAAGTGCATAAGTACATAGTGCATGAGTCCATAGTGTATAGTGTGCCATTTGGGACGCAGCTACTGAAATGATTAATTAGGTGATGATTGAGGACTGATGATGAACACCTGCTGTTATTAAGCAGAGAAACAGAAGAGAAACACAAAACTACTACTGACTTCAGTCACAGCCTTAGATGAAATCAGCTGAGATAGAATACATTGAATCTTTCCCAGCAGAGAATCAACTCAATCAATGAGCAACTCAACAAACAACAGCTTTATTTATTACTAATCTGTTTGCCTTATTTTAAAGAGGGACCGAATACTACCGAATAAAAAAATTTACTCAGAGGATTTTGCTGTGTATGCTAGCCTAAAGTAAAAGTGCTCCCAATAGACCCGGAGAACAGCTCAATGTATTCAAAAATGGTAAAACTCACGTTTAACTCTAGGGGACATGAGCCTTTTAAAAAAAGAAGAAGAAGAAGAAAAAGAAAAAGAAAGAGTAGAGTGTTCCATTAAGACTTTCTCTTAAGGGTCACATCTGTTCAGTTCAAGACAGAAAGGTATATTAACCTAGTTTATTGGTCACTGAATAATCTGAGTATACTATTCCTACAGGAGTGCAAACAATGAGCATCAGTCATTATCAAATAATTCAACTCCACTTAGGTGCTTTAAAACATGCTGCGTTATTCAACGTGTTGACATAATGTCACTGAAACAGGAAGAAATGGTGCGACACTGAGCTTCTCCTTCCCTGTTTTTTAAAATGACAAAAGTGTTTCTTTATATCACAGTTTGACCAGAGTCAATGACCTCAGTAAAGCCACATCTGACAGCTTATGACAGCGACAGTCAACCAGTAATGGTGAGTCTGTCTAACCATTACCTCATCTTCCCAAAGCCCTATAAAAAAATAGTGCTCTGTGAATTCAAAAGTGTCTTATGTTTTGTGGTCAGCGGGGCTCACACATGTGATCCACACTTTGCTGTCAAGCCTTGGGACATGAGAAACTGTGTTGTATCTGTTTGCATGTTTACACTGTCTGAGTCATTTACTCCCTATGTAGTGCCATTGCCCATATAGAAAATAGTGATTGTATAAACAAATGACTAATTTTAGCTGGAATTTTACATCAACTTGTAGTACAGAGGCTGTTTCATTAAGCATTTGATTAGATATAATTGACAGATAGATAGATAGATAGATAGATAGATAGATAGATAGATAGATAGATAGATAGATAGATAGATAGATAGATAGATAGATAGATAGATAGATAGATAGATAGACAGACAATTTATTGTCAGAAGTCTGATTTTTTTTCTTGCTATCTATCAAAGTGATGTGTTTAAAATAATTTTTCCATATTGTGGGAAATGAGAAATCACAAGTTTTAATGTAAACACAGTGTCTTCTGAATGCAATTTTTAAAAGCTAACCTTAAAGGGTTATTTCATCCTAAAATGAAATAATGATGAATAATGAAATAAAATGAAATCACCCTCAAGGAATCCTCGGTGTATATGACTCTCTTCTTTCAGTCAGATTAAATCATTTTTTTTCTTTAATTATCTTAGGCTTTTTCAGCTCTATAATGTCTATACTGTGTAACTTGCTAGTGCTATTCAGCTGAACATTCTGTGTTTGGTCTCTCTTCACTGTGCTTCAACTCAAGAGATAAACATATTCCTTTCCAGCTGACGGTGCATACAAAAATTACACCTTAAAAAAGGTGAAGATGATTGAAATTTCGACAATTGTCAGAAGTTGCACAAATGAAGGTTATTTTAAAATGTATCTTGACTTGTGATCATCAATAGCCTTATGAAAAGCATGCCGACAGCCGAAGATAATTCTTTAAATAACTCCGATTGAATTCATTCATTCTTTTCGGCTTAGTTTCTTTATTAATCTGGGGTTGCTACAGCAGAATAAACTGGCTGATAAATTCAACCAAAATAAAAACTTATAAACACCATCATAGAAAATGAAAATAAATAATGCAATAATTTTTTTTTTTTTGCATGAACTAACCCTTTAAGACTGACATGTTCCTTATAAAAGCCAAAAATTTTCTTTCCAGCATGTGTTTAGCCGTTTTGGGACCACCATGGCTGACGCATTACATGGAGAATTCATTTCAAATTTGCTTACAGAAGTGCAAGCCAAAATTCAAAGACTTTCCAAAATATGCAGAGACAGACAGAGTAAAACAAAGATAAACACTGGCAGAGCTTTTATAAAATTGTTAGATTTCAATCAAGACACAAACATTCTGGAGTCTCTTCTAGACGGCTAAGATACATTTATGCAAAAGTTGTTTCTGTCACTGCTAGTTGATTTTTATAGCTCAGAAACTGCTTCATCACCAAGAATGAGTTATAACTTATTAAGTTATAGTTTTACTTTTAAAAATAAAAATAAGAACCTCTCCATTTCCATGTAATTGATTAAAAAAATTATGACCAAGACTGATCTAAGCACTTCATACAACATGCCATGGGTGTAAACTGGATCAAATTGACTAAATGATGTGGTAGGCTCAGTTAGAGAGGCTGACATGATAATAATCACACAACGCACAGCATGCAAGCGGGCATAGACAAACAAGGCCAATCTCAGCAGACAGTGGCAGTGTGTTTTAACTCTCACCTTAAAGAAGCTGCTGCTCCGGTCCATAAGGCAGGACTGCATCATCATCTCTACAGACATGGTTGGATGTACGCAGCTCTTCTGTGTCAGCCTGGGTCTCTGTGGATCAAAGACACATACTTTAACTTGAAGGCCAGAATAAAGAAACCTCAACCCATTCCACATGGTCCAAACAAAGAAATGAGCACACAAGTCTCATAGAACAGACATACAAACACACTATCAATGAAACTCCCTCATTTCATTTGCTGCTTGATGAATAGTGTAACCTGATCTAAGCTTGCTTACACATACAATACTTGCTTATATATCTACACAGTCACATGTGCTTGATTGCTCATAATAACCTTTGCTACATTATATGTAATAATAACACTGGGCATTTGCAAAGAGATTATGGGAGAACTGGTGGAGCAAACAGATGACGGTGTGTTTTTAACCTTTTGTTAACCCACTTTTAAAGAAGTTTTCACAACAGCTGCAGGCATAATACAGGGAGGAGGGGATCAGCTGGGAGACTGGTGGAAACAAAACCAGGGCAAAGGTCAAGCCGTGAGAAAGAGTGGCGGAGGAGGAGAACACAAGGGGAACATAAAGCTTTTGATTGTATGTGAATGCACGGCTCAACTCAGGTAAGACTGAAAACAAAACAGTTTGAATGTGGTGATTAACCGTTGAACTATGCCGACATATGGCATGTACATTTACAGTACGGGTCAAAAGTTTGGAGAAAAAAAAGTATGGGCAGAGTGTAACAGAAATTAAGCAGGGTTTAAATTCTAAATGAATAAAGATTTTGTTTGTTTGTTTGTTTTCAATAAAAGAGACAAAATATACCAAGGACGCATTAAATTAATAAATACAAACTTTTTGCTTATTTTTCGTATTTTAAATATTATATATAATATATTATATTGGGCAAAGTGGGTATCGCTGTTGCCTCATAGCAAGAAGGTCGCTGGTTCGAGCCTCGGCTGGGTCAGTTGGCGTTTCTGTGTGGAGTTTGCATGTTCTCCCTGCATTCGCGTGGGTTTCCTCCGGGTGCTCTGGTTTCCCCCACAGTCTAAAGACATGCGGTACAGGTAAATTGGGTATGCTAAATTGTCCGTAGTGTAGGAGTGTGAATGAGTGTGTATGGTTGTTTCCCACAGATGGGTTGTGGCTGCATCTGCTGCGTAAAGATGTGCTGAATAAGTTGGCGGTTCATTCCACTATGGCGACCCCAGATTAATAAAGGGACTGAGACGACAAGAAAATGAACGAATGAATGAATATATATCAATATAAACTGCCCTGGGAGTATGTAAGTATATTATATTTTAAAAATAAAATTTTATATTTCTAAATTTTAAAAAGTATCACTTTTCCACTTTTCTTTTTCCATATCATATTTCCAAAAATATTGAGCAGCTTAAGTGCTTTTCCACATTGATGATACCAAATTAGTATCAAATCAGTATTCAGGAAGAAAACAGGTGTGCATTCCAGATGTAAATGAATTAAATCACACTGTTTAAATTAATTAATTAAATAACATTAAATACATTGAAATGTACATTAAAACTTATTATAAATCATAATATTATTTCATATCATCAATTCCGATGATTTATGCAGCTATGGTGAGCATGTGAGACATTCAAAGTCATTTTACTGGACCCAAACTCTCAAAATAGTAATATAGCCAGGGTCAAAACACTTAAAAAACATTCACATTTATCAAATTTTACATGTAAATGCTCTCTACGATTATTGATCAAGTCATCCATCAGAGAGGACCAAGCTGAATATACAAAAAATGGGATAGTTCACACAGAAATGAAACTTTTGTCATCACTTACTCATCTTCTACTTGTTCAACGCAATTTGATGCTCTTTCTTCTATTAAACACAAAAGAAGATATTTTGAAGGATAAGGATACCAGCAGCCACTGTTTTTTCCCCTACTATAGATATCTATAGCTACGTCCTCAAAATAAATATTTTGTGATCAACAGAAAAAAGAAACTAACAAAGGTTTGTAATCACTTGAATGTGAGCTGCTGAGTAAATAGTTTTGTTTGTTGATGAACTCTTCCTTTAACATGCTCAATACCACATGGATTTCCATATAAGCCATTTCACAGTTTAGATTTCCTAAATGAGCTTAAAGAACTAGTATGGAGGGCTCTTTATGTATTATACTGCATAAAATGCTAAATATTTTGACTTCAAAGCATTTATTTAAGATCTACAAAAATCATCAGTCCAAGGCACTCAAAAAGTAGGTTAAACATTTTGAGTGTCTTGGACTGATAATTTTTTTATACATCTTTAAGAATCCCTCACCAAAAATGCACCGACATATTAATTACCCCTAAAGCATTTTTGGTTTGACTCTGGATTTTAACTCATTTAAGGTCTTTGATGTTTGACTAAATGCAAATGCAGAAATACGTCCAGAGTAAACTGTAAACAATCCAGCCATTAAAGGTTCCATGCGGTCGCCACAGGTCAGTTGGCTCTGTATGAGCAGCGCTGCAGAAAACTGTCCTCATCTGGAGAGAGACAGAGCCAGCGCTGACCCACTTCCAGATGCTGCAGATCCCCAACACCCAGAAAGCTTTGATCCAGCACAGCTGTCTGAGTTATGCACAACAGCCTTTTCTCCACAGACAGCGCAGTCTTGCTTTGCACGGTGTCAACCTGATTCTTACTGTCGACAAAGGAAACACAAAGCTCTTTTTTTCACCAGGTGAATTTATGCATTGAGCTAACACAAAGCTGCTGTCTGGGTGCTGACACTGTAAAGGGAATCATGGCCAACATGTGGAGCTCAGCTCACAAAGCCTCTTTTGATGTGACCATCAGAAGCTTTGAAAAAACCAGCATCTCTTTCCAAACATTTGCTTTCTTCAATTCATATACATAGAGATGACTCCTCAATGGTGTAGTTTAGACTGTCCTACTTGGGGGGCAATGGCTCCTTTAGTACAACATCTACTAAATACTGAAAATTGACATTTGAACCATACCTGTCAATGCTCCTGTTTTTCCTGGGAGTTTCCCATATTTTACAGTTTTATCCCGCTATCATCCCGTAAAGGTATTTTTCCGTATTTCTCCCGTATTTTCAATCTTTCTATGAAGGGCGGCAATAAACATTACAGAGCCGATCCTCCCTACACACAACCCATACTGCTGAACCACCTGGGGACACCCCTTGCTCTTAAATGTGAGTCTGTTCTGCGCTGTTTCAAACAGATTCTGTTCACGTGATTTGAAGTGGAGAGAAAGTCTGGGTTTAGGGTGCGTGTTTGAACAGACATATACAAATAATTAATATTAATAACATCTAAAGATGTCAAACTTGGTGTTTCTTTTTTTTTTTTTTTTTTCAAACACAACTAATTTTGTCCTAAATGAGCATGATAAGTTAGGAAAGCAATCGAATGCTTTCATGATAACATTAGATGTGTGCATTTTTAAAGTGACACCTCTGTTATTTAATTTAATCAAACGAAAAATCGAATTAAATGAGATTAATTCATTGCTCTTTAATCAGAATGTGTAACTTATACAGTGAAGACCAAATTAATGAGATTTGATAACTTGATTCTATTTATTTATAATATTCTCTTTTAATTTTAAGTTAAACTAAGTAAACAATAATAATAATTATTGTAAATAATGATAATAAAACATATTACTGACTGTTTAACTGTTCATTTACAATTTAGTTTTTTTTTGGTGGGGGAGATGTGGTTATGCTGGGTATGTCCCTTAAAAATGCCATTAGCCATTAAATGTAGCATTGCATGTTCCTTTTAATGCTGCAGTCTATCATATTTTTATTAATATTATAATCTTATATATTATAAAATATAATAATTTTATCCTTACATTTTTTTTATGTTATGCTGTTTGTTTTAAACGCTCTAATATAATAATAATAATAATAGTAATTTTATTATTATTATTAATTTAAAAACTTTAATAATAATAATAATATATTATTGTCATTTTTATTGTTTAATATTTTTGATAATAACTATTTTTTCTATATACAGTTTGTTTTTGGAGGCTGACATTGTTAGAATAACACAACAACAACAACAACAACAACAACAATAATAATAAATATTATTCTTTGTACTTATATAATGGCAAATACTGTAATAATACAATAATAACAATATTACAATATGAATGATAATTATAATATCAATAATGATAATTCTATCATTGTTATGTAAATGAATGCTATCTTGCATTACAAAGAGGCGCTAAATCCTAAATCCAGAACCTTTTCATTTACTGTTCCTGACTGGTGGAATGATCTCCCCAATCCCATGTGGACTCCAGAATCCCTAGCATAAAATCCACAGTTCCTTAGGCTGTTCTAACAATGCCAGAAAAGTTGTATTATTAGCACCTATTTGCACCTCTTTACGATGAATCATTTTATGCCTTTCTCATTTGTAAGTCATTTTGCATAAAAGTATCTGCTAAAAACTCAATGTAAATGTAATTCTCTCTTCCAAACCAAATCCCATAATTCCCAGCTCTCTTTTTCTCTCTTTCTTTTCACTCCTGAATCATCCTGACCAGTCATCACTGTCCACTGAAAACATTTTTACAACCCAAAGGGCACAACAGCTGTCCAACTGCTTGGAAAAAATACAGCTTTAACATTTTGTTGTTGTGGTGGTCGTTTTTCCAGAAATAGCAAGAGATGAAAATGGGCTACAAGAGTCTGAGTGAGTTCCAGGTATTTCCTGTGAAGCTCCGTCCCTGCGCTGACAGATATGGATTGAGTTTGACATGTTAATCTACTCCTCTCTGTGAAGGGGCTTCACCTCATGTTGTTGCTGTAATGAGGCATCACAACACACATTCATCTTTCCTCAGCAGGACTCAACAATTACACTTTCCTCTGCTCACACTGCCAGAGCACAGCCTACATCCATAAACAAGCACTACTAGTCAAATGATTGGGATAAGTATAGTCCTGTCACAATATCTAATTTTTGTTGTAAGATATTTTGCACCAAAATATTTTGCGAAAAATGATATTATTGTCATTTTATGCCACTCATTACATAATGCCAGAATTACAA